TAGGCTGAGTGGCCCCCAGTGCCCTTGTTTGTGTGGAAGGAGGAAGGCAGAGAGACAGGAGGAGGAGGCTGATGGTCTCGCGGCCCTTGCTGGAGGCACACGTGGGTAGTCGACGCCCTGAAAATTTGCAGGAAGGAAGGCAGTGGGGTACAAGGACGCAGATAGGCAGGGAGGGCAGAACTTGAACTTGTTAATACCAGCAGCCCTCTTTTTTTCCCAGAGGGTTGTGAACCCACCTGGGGATGAGGCCTGGTGTTGTGGAAACTGAACTTCGCGGGGCTGACAGTTCTGGCCCAGGGCGGTGGCAGTGCACCCCTTTGGACTTTTCCTCTAGGTTCCATGCTTACCTCTTCTGTGACCTCACTCTGCCCCTCCTCCTCCCTCTTAACTGTCTCGAGGTTACCCCTTCACTTAAAGCGTTGCTTCTGGTAATCTGGTAAGCCGGGAACGTTGCTGGAGTCCCTGCCGGAGTCGTGTTGTCGGTAATCCCGAAGGAGAGGCGTCCCCGGCGGAGACTCTGGGTGGGCGGGTTGGTCTTGCCGGTGGACAGGGTGGGGATTGAAGGTGCACCCTTGGGTGGGCCCACAGCGATGGTACCAGCTGAAAGCTACAAAAATGCTTCATAGGGGCTTCCCTGGTGGTGCAGTGGTTGAGATTCCGCCTGCCGATGCAGGGGACACGGGTTCGTGCCCCGGTCCGGGAAGATCCCACGTGCCGCGGAGCGGCTGGGCCCGTGAGCCTTGGCCGCTGAGCCTGCGCGTCCGGAGCCTGTGCTCCGCAGCGGGAGAGGCCACAGCAGTGAGAGGCCCGCGTACCGCAAAAACAAAAAAAAAAAGCTTCATAGACCGTGGTTTGTTACTATAGTGTTCATCATGGCAAGCTGATGGCACCAGGAGAAATGGAACCCCTGGCCAGTGTGAGTCGTAGCAGTGCAGGAGGGGAGACCCTAGAGAAGGAGAAAGCCCGCCTCAAATGTCTACAGATTGAATTTCCAGAGGCTTAGGAGGAGGAGTTCTCCAATGTCCTGTTTCCAGGCCTTGCTCAGGAAGCCCTGTATTCATTCAGGAGACCATCCTTTAAGGTTTTCAGATGAGCTTATGAGGGGGCAATCTTTAAAAGTCCAAAGCAGATGCATCCGGGGACTTCAGCAGATGTGTTGCTTTGAGTGTGTAATCCGGGAGCAGCGATCTCTGGGCACGTGAATGCCAGCAGGCACCTCTCCTGTTCTGGGGTGGAGGTTTTCAGATGCTACATCTTCTAAATTCAGCCTTCCGTTGTACTAGTTTTGTGCTACAAACCTTGCTTCCAGAGGACTCTTGAGCTGTAGAACATTTTAACGCGATGCCACAACACAGAGTGCTGCCTTGTAGATGGAGCTTGCAGATGGAGCCCAGTGACCCTCTCATCTACCCGCCCGCCTTCCTGTGCATTGGTCGGAGGAATTCTTAGTGTGATGATATAATCTGTGTGTTGGGAAAGTGTTCAAGATTGAAATGCCTTAGGCAAATACTTAAAGGAGCCAACTGGCAAATTGAGGGGGTCATTGTACTGTGCTGGAGGTACGAGTTGGTCATGCCCAAATTGTGATAGAAATGGTAGGTCTAGTTTGGGCATTCCTACTAAGAAGGGAGTGTTCAGGGTACCCGTAGTGATCTTTGATTCATCTTTTGCTCTTTGTGTTTTTTAACTTCGATTTTACTTGATCAGATTTCAGAGCAATCTTAGTGTTCAAATGGGAGGACCCTGAGGTGAGGGGTGGTGGGGAGGGAAAAGCCTGCCGCAGGTGCTGGGAGGGGTGGGGGGGGTGGGCGTGAAGAAAGGAAGGAGGGGGGAGGGTTGTGGTTAGGTGTGGGTTGTAGAGGGTGGGAGTGGTAGGGAATGTGGGTTGAAGGGAATTCTCTGGAGAAAAGATCAGTAGACAGAGCTCTGGGGAATTATATAGAGCTCATGGGCAAAGAAATTACTAGTTAATAGTAAATTGTTAATGCTAGTTAAATTATCGCTTGGAAGCACAAAAAAACAGTTGCTTGGAAACTTTCTAAAATGCTTAAAACTCTGCTAAGTGCAGGGGAAAAAGCAAAATTGCTTTGCTGCAAGATGGGGAAGACTGAAAAGGTAACTGAAGACCTGGTTATTGGTGGCTTGAAAGATTGGTGTCAGAAACTTGCATCAGCAGGTTAACATCCTTCACTGCTTTCAAGCTTCTTACGTGGTTTATCTGGAGATGTGTGGTATTTGGGAGAGGTCTTCGAAAAGACTTTAAATACCCATATTGTGGGCTTTTAAAGTAAGCTTGAGATTGTGGAGTGCACTTAAGATGGTGAGATGTACTCTTCTGGGTTTGCAACATTTTCTTTCACTGAGGTTTTGCAGTTGAAAACTTGAGCAAGTGACAATGCAATGATTTCTAAAGGAATTTTGTGTTACTTCCTGCCTTATAAGCACATCTCTTCTTTGTGATGAGTATTAATTAGAAACAGCAAGAGTTTTTACTTTTCGTCGTCATTGTAACAAGGAGAACCTAATGACTTTGTGATCACTGTAAAATTACTGTAATATTTGGTAGCAAACAATCCTTGTAGGCTTGCTAAGGTTACAGTTAGTAATCCACTGTATCTTTAGTTTGAATGTTTGTGTTTTTAAAGTGATAACCGTATTAGAGGGGAAACTATCAGCCAAAATCAGTTTGGGAAATAAGCAAAACTGGGGATGGGGAGGTGCTTTATTACTAGATTACGGTGTGTTTGTGAAAATTGAGGGAAAGATCCGAATCCTTTGTGATAAAATAATACCAGTGGCTTTTTTACCATGTCTCTCTTCCCATTGAATTTCACTTTGAAAATTTTAAATCCCCGATATTTATACACTTGGGATCTTTCTAGGTTCTCTTTTTAATGTTTAAAAATATGTTGACATGATAGTTCAGTTCTTAACCCGTGATTTGGGCATGATACAGTAACTGTCATTGGAATTTAAGGAATACTAGTCGTGCATGTATGGGGAAATGGTAAGCTGTTGTGAAATTGAAACTGTAAAAGTAGGAGGAAAAAGTACTTTTATGTTGCCCTGTATGGGAAGAACCAGTCTTGTTACACCATGTATGTGACTGCTAATCATTATTCTTCCCCTTTACAGCATGAATAAAGGTTTGAGTTCTAAAAATAATAATAATAATTATTATTATTATTATTATTTTTAAATTTTTTTAAATAAAAAAAGAAAGAAAGAAGAGAGCAACCAAACCAAAAAACAAATCCACCAATGATAACAAGCGCTAAAAACTATACTAAAAAAAAAAAGGCAGACAGAACCCTAGGACAATGGTAAAAGCAAAACTATACAGACAAAATCACACACAGAAGCATACACATACACACTCACAAAAAGAGAAAAAGGGGGAAATATATACATATCATTGCTCTCAAAGTTCACCTCCTCAATTTGGGATGATTCACTGTCTATTCATGTATTCCACAGGTGAAGGGTACATCAAGTTGATTGCGGAGCTTTAATCCGCTGCTTCTGAGGCTGCTGGGAGACATTTCCCTTTCACTTCTTTGTTCGCACAGCTCCCGGGGCTCAGCTTTGGATGGGGCCCCGCCTCTGCGTGTAGGTCGCCGGAGGGCGTCTGTTCTTTGCTCAGACAGGCCGGGGTTAAAGGAGCCGCTGATTCGGGGGCCCCGGCTCACTCAGGCCGGGGAGGGCGGGGCACGGAGTGCGGGGCGGGCCTGCGGCGGCAGAGGCCGGCGTGACTTAACACCAGCCTGAGGCGCGCCGTGCGTTCTCCCGGGGGAGTTGTCCCTGGGTCCCGGGACCCTGGCAGTGGCGGG